GGTTCAGGCAATTCTCCTGCCTCAGCCTCCTGAGTAGCTGGGATTACAGGCACGCGCCACCATGCCCAGCTAATTTTTTGTATTTTTAGTAGGGACGGGGTTTCACCATGTTGACCAGGATGGTCTCGATCTCTTGACCTCGTGATCCACCCGCCTCGGCCTCCCAAAGTGCTGGGATTACAGGCTTGAGCCACCGCGCCCGGCCTTTATGTTTATTTTTTTAGACAGAAGCTTGCTTTGTTGTCTAGGCTGGTATACACTGGCTCAATCTTGGCTGACTGCAGCCTCTGACTCACAGGTTCAAGAAATTCTCCTGCCTCAGCCTCCCGAGTAGCTGGAATTATAGGCGCATGCCACCATGCCTGGCTAATTTTTGTATTTTTAGTAGACAGGATTTTACCATGTTGGCCAGGCTGGTTTGGAACTCCTGACTTGAAGTGATCTCCCCATGTCAGCCTCCCAAAGAACTGGGATTACAGGCGTGAGTCACTGCATCCAGCCTTATTACCTTTTTAAATTCTGCTGTATCTATAGTTGTACTGCTTTTTTTGGTCATTGTATTATTTGTGTCCTTTTTCTTAATCTAACCAGGATTTATGTCTTCTTTTAGTTCTTTGAAATCACCTTTGGACTTTTTTGGTACTATCTATGTACGTATTTTTTTTTGAGACGGAGTTTCGCTCTTGTTACCCAGGCTGGAGTGCAATGGCGCGATCTCGGCTCACCGCAACCTCCGCCTCCTGGGTTCAGGCAATTCTCCGGCCTCAGCCTCCTGAGTAGCTGGAATTACAGGCACGCACCACCATGCCCAGCTAATTTTTTGTACTTTTAGTAGAGACGGGATTTCACCGTGTTGACCAGGATGGTCTCGATCTCTTGACCTCGTGATCCACCCGCCTCGGCCTCCCAAAGTGCTGGGATTACAGGCGTGAGCCACTGCGCCCGGCCTATGTACCTATTTTTATTTCACAGGTATTAGTTCTTACCTGTATTATCTCCTTTCTTCTATTTTGTTTGGCTTATTCTGTTGTTAGAGATGTTTTTAGGCCTTTGATTCTTTTCTCTTGCTTTGTTTTAGAGGGAGTCTCCCTCTGTCAACCAGGCTGGAGTGCTGTGGCATGATCTCAGCTCAATATAACCTCCGCCTCCCAGGTCAAAGCAAGTCTCCTGCCTCAGCCTCCCAATGGCACTACCTTTTCTGATCTTTGTAACAGTTACAAAATACTATAGGATATCAAGTAATAATCTATAAAGAATATACATAGCACAATCTCCTTCATGTGGTAAACATGCAACTACATGGTGGCTATACCTTGTACAGAGACTACATCAAACAAGCTCAAAAGCAGACTGTAAAGGAACTAAGACATAAACCAGGAAGATGAGAGAACTCTAAATCAGATTCCTTTTCTAAGCTGGACTGATCCCCTGATTAGAATCTGGACCTCATCTTTAGAATAAAATGCTTTACCTTGCATTCAATGTGACTAATATAATAATATATGATTACAGACAGTTTAAAATTAAGAGATGGTTGACAGAGAGAAGAACCATGCCTCTAGAAATATAAGCCAATGGGAAGGACTCAAGCCTTCAGGCCCTCAGATGTCTTCACATGTAAACTTACATACACATGTATATACAAACACAATCTATAATTGCCAACACCAAAAATGTGTTCTACAAAAAGCCTTGTTATATCCACGTTATTCCTCAACCCGTTCCCAGGGCCAAGCCCTGCTATGAATAAAAACATCATTTTTAATTAATAAAACAATTTGTAACAATAACTGGCCTCACCTTATAAAGAATATAAATTTCTAATGAGAAAATGTAGAGAGAAAGAGAGAGAATATGTATCCATGATCAGGAAGAGAGCTGACACAGACCAAGTATCCATAATGAGGGAGGAACAGACAGCACAAATCATGTGTTCACAAATGGAGGCAATGTAAACAGAGTCAAGGTGGCCAGAGAGTATTTCTTACCTGAGTATCCAAAGGAAATACTGGAGATGGGGCTCAGGTAGATGCCTTTGCCATAGGCTGCTCCATGCAGCTTGCAGGGAAACACCAGGATGAGCAATATAAGCCTGGGCCCTCCCATGGCTATTCATTAGGCAGCCGCAAGGCTTATCCAGCCCTCTGTCCCTCCAGGTACCTTCTCATTCATTCAAATAACCCTAAGCACCTATTGTCGAAAAGCCAATTGGCTGAAAAGTGGATGTAGGTTAACCTGCTTGCCTATGAAATACTACGTACTGACGCATTGGAGAGTGGGAAATGGTAGAGTCAGTCCCTCAGCATTCATTTCTCTGTCCCAAGGCCTTGGTACATAAGCAGATTCCAAAAAAGAGGAACTATAGAACAGGTAGCCAGAAGGAGCGACAATACACACTCCCTGGAGTCTCTCAGGGTATAGAAACAAGTCTCCCATATCTACTCCCTGAATGAATAGCCACATAAATTGAAAAGCTCTAATAGATTAATTCATCACAGTGGCTACAATCAGCAATTCCACATTCCTACTTACAGGCACATTCCCATTCCCCAAACCACCAAAAAAACGCAGCATGAGGTCAAATACACAACAGCCACATTCTCTATTCATACAGTTCCAACTTCCTCTCTAGAGAAGCCCACAAGACAGGTTAGGCTTGAGGATGCTGAGGCAAAAACAGCTGAGTACTCTAGAGCAGCCTTCCACAAAACTGAGTAGGGAAAGGGGCAGTTGGAAATAAAGAAGAAAGGGGCACAGCCTCACCTGTAGTTTGGTGTAGGATGCATTGACCAGCCCATTGCGCAGGATTGAATGCCAGTTCTCAATATGGGACCCACTGTAAGGCAGGTAGAATACATGTCTCCTTATGATATGAGGTTCCCAGGAACACTCCCAAGACTGCCATTCCCACCCATTCTCACCCACATAGGACATGAAGATAGACAAGTACACCTAGTAATGAACATGCACATGGATATGGTCACAGGCACACAAGATGTATGTGTGTGGTTAAACCCTACATCTCTATTTCCAGTTCCCTCCTCTCTTCTGTGCTTCAGCTACTCCCATCCTAAATCCTCAACTGCTGGTTCAGTATTTTCATTTGCCTATTCTCCTGACATTCCAAATTCAATAAATTCATCTGAAAATCAACAGATTTATCACTGACCCCAAATATGGCTTCCAGTTTTGACTTCATGTTCTATTTTAAGAAAAGGGTACTACCACTCCCTATTAGTTCCCTTTATTCCCTCCCTTTCTTCCTTCAACATATCAATATTAAAAAAAAAAAAAAAAAAAAAAAAAGGTCAGGCGTGGTGGCTCATGCCTGTAATCCAAGCACTTTGGAGGCCAAGGCAGGCGGATCACCTGAGGTCAGGAGTTCAAGACTAGCCTGACCAACATGATGAAACCCCGTCTTTTTAAAAACAAACAAACAAACAAACAAACATCCCTTTCTTTCTCTTTCTCTTCTCTCACAATTAGGCATAAATTGTGGATTTTCCTTCAAAGTAGCTTTCAGATCTGTTCTCTCCAATCTATTTCTTCAGCCACATCTTTTCATATGTAAAGTCACTTTCCCTCAACTACATCAGAAGTCGTTTGAGAATAAAGACCATGTGATATGTACCTTTTTATCGTCTATAGCACCGGCCACAGTAGCATTTAATAAATATCTGCTGACTGGTTGATGGACACATGTAACACAAACCCATATATCTCAAGGGCATCCTTCTCGATCATCCCCGCCCCCACACCACCCCCACTGCCCAGCCCCCAGCCTCCTCACTGGAAGGCAAAGGTGCTGCCATAGAGCTTCTTGGCGGTCCGGAACCGAGCCTCCTTGGCAGGAGGGCTGCTCAGCAGGAGGAACTGGTGTGAGGTGTGCATGAACTTCAGCTGCTGCCCAGGGTGGGGGTGGGATCAGGAAAACAAGAGCAGAAATCGAGATCAGGGAGGGAAAGGTTGTGGACAGGGAAAAAATCAGGCTTGCGTTAACCCCACACAAGGGAAATATGCTAAGGCCCAAAGACTAAGTTGACGGGCAGAGCCAAGTAGGCAGATCTAGAACCAATGTGGCTAGCTAGCTTACAGCCCCTCCCTGTCCCTCACCAGATATTTAAAGCATTTAGAGGAAGAATGGTCACTTACCCTGCTGAGAGGTAGTTTGACAATGTGTGACCTGTTGCTAGAGATGATCCTGGGAAGAAACAGAGAAAAATGAAAAGGATAGAATAATCATGTAGTTAAGCTATCCTGAACAAGCAGGCTTCCTCTGCCTCGGGAGAATAAACAAGCATTCCTGGGCTCTCTGAATCGTCTGAAATGTCCAGGTCACTATCTGGATATTCCCTGTGGGTGATAATGCTTGTGAATAAAAATGTAAAAGGGAAGCTACCGACCAGACACAGACTAGTTATTGGGGAGTTATACAATCGATGAAAAAAAAAAGGGGTGGGAGGAGGGCTGCTACAAGTAGGGAGTGAAATGGAAAGAACAAAAGAAAGGGTATAAAAGGTCACCTACGAAAAAAGAAAGAACAGAAAAGAGAGGTCTGAATTAGAATGGTAACAACTTATACCTGGGATTTAGACTCAGATTCAGACCTCGGCTCAGGAGCCATCCTTCCTGAGCTCAAGAGAAAACCTGAAAGCTCTCAGAAATGGAGAGAAAATTACTGTCTAGGCTGGAAAAAGAACTAGAATGAGGAGTCAAGGATAGACTAAGCTCTATATAGGCTGAACGCAGAGGATACAAGAGAACAAAGACATAAAACACTGAGGGCTCAGCAAGAGAGCACTATCTCCCATGTGGATACAGTTTGTTGTTGTCTTT